TCCTCTGCGCCAGGGGGTTCTGAAGGGCTAATGGGGGAATTAGGCACATGGGTGTTTAATCAGGAAGCCATTAGGAGGGCTTTGTGTGAGATGATTATAATAGATGAGTTGCCCTTTAGGTTTGTTGATGGGATAGGGTTTAGGAGATTTATTCTAGTTGCCTGCCCAAGGTTCCAAATTCCTTCTAGGTGGACAGTTTCAAGGGATATTTTCGAAAGATACCTAGATGAGAGATCAGTCCTTAAACAAATTTTTAAGGGTTGCTCCCAAAGAGTCAGCTTAACCACTGACACATGGACCTCTGTACAGAGGATAAATTACATGTGCATTACTGCACATTTCATTGATGATCAGTGGAAGCTGAACAAAAAAATCATAGCCTTTGTCCCTGTTTCATCTCATAGATCAGAATGTGGCTGACTAGTAATTGGTATTTCCCACATTCTGAATCTGGTGGTGCAAGATGGGTTGAAGTTTGCTGATACTTCAGTTAAGAGGGTTAGGGAAGCAGTTAGATGGGTTAGGAACTCCCCTACAAGGCTAAAAAAATTTAGAGATCTTGCTGAACTTATTGGGGTGGAAGCCAAATCAGCTTTGTAGTTGGATGTTCCTACAAGATGGAATAGCACATATATGATGTTGAACACTACAATCCAGTACCAAGCAGTCTTTGATGCCTATTTGGGAAATGATCCCTCATTTTCTGATGACCTGGGTACCTCTGTGCCTACTTTTATGGATTGGTTTGATGTGAAAAGTTTGGTAACTCTGCTAAAAACTTTCTATGACATGACTGTGAGGATTTCTGGTTCTCTTTATGTTACATCTAACACTTTCTTCAGTGAGATCTCTGATCTTAGTTGCATGTTAGATGACATGACTGGTGGTGAAGCTGGTTCTGAAAAGGTAAATTACATCCCTTAACTAAAATGTTTACTGTTTAACAAATGTGTATATTAACAAGTCTTTAATTATTTGGTTTTTTACAGGTAATGGGCACCCAAATGAAAACTAAGTTTCTGAAATATTGGGGGGACCCTGAAAAAATGAACTGTGTGATCTTCTTTGGCACTATTTTGGATCCTAGAGATAAGGTTGAGTACATTCCTGCCCAGTTAACTCAACTTTATGGTGATGATAAAGGCAAATCCTGTTTTGAGAAGATCCAATCTACACTTCTTGAGCTGTATAATGTTTATGCTGTCATTTACTCTGTGGATGTGAACCCTAAACCAGCTGCTGTTGCCCAACCTTCTCAAACTGTCTCTGTGAGTGTGCAGCCTAGTGCTGTAACTGTTGGTAGGCCACAAGGTAAGCTGAAATCTCAATTGAAAAGGCAAAGGATGGAGAGTGGTGGTAGCCTAAAACAGACTGACCTGCAAATATATTTGAGTGAGGCCATTGTGGAAGATAAGGTTGATTTTGATATCCTAAAATGGTGGAAGGTGAACTCTGAAAGACTGCCAATTCTCTCTAAAATGGCAAGGGATATTCTTGCAGTTCCAATATCCACTGTGGCTTCTGAAAGTGCTTTTTCAACCAGTGGTAGAGTGTTGGATCCATTTAGGAGTTTCTTAACTCCTAAGATTGTGAAAGCTTTAATTTGTACACAGGATTGGTTGAGATTACCAAATCAACCTATTCAAATTGAAGAAAATATTGATGATTGTGAAAGGCTTGAGAAAGGTAATAGTAGTTTACTTAAATACTTTCATTATTGTGTATTTATTTGTATGATAATTAATATGTGTTTTTTATTTGCAGAGTTGCCAACTGGAGTTAGGACTGCTGGAACTTCCCTACCAACCATTGCAGTAATGTTCATTCATTCTGCTCTCAGTTTTATATTTAGTTGTTATTCTGTTCTCTTAGAAAATTAGATTACCATTCTGTTTTTATTTATGGCTTATGAATTCAAATATTCAATTATGTAAGTGCATTTTAGTGCCTCAGCCCCTTCCACAGTTCCACTTGATTGAACATTTGAACATCAGGTTATAGCTTGACAGGTATGTGCAGTAGTATGGGCTATGATGATGCTTCCACCCTTGTCTGAATCAAAGGATTGGGGTTGGTATGTTGCTCAAGTTTTGGATTTAGTTCCAAAACTTTAGAAGCAATTTCCCTCAAATCTTAATGATATGAAACAACAGCAATCTGAGCCTATTTTGGATTTTTGAGCAAATAATGTTAAACTGTTATTCTTTTTCATTTTTTTTCTTTTTGTTATTTGCTATTTAAATTTGCACCTTAAGCAGGAAGATGAGGAATGCTGAGTGCCTGAGTTGCTGGTTTGCTGAGTTGCTATTGGCTGTTGCTGCATTTGGTTTTTGAATGGTGCCTTAACACTTAACAGCTTATTTTTTGAAAATTTGAATCTATAAACTGTTTTTGAATTGTAACTTGTAAGCTGTAAAGTTGTTAGCTACTTAGCTTCATTAACTTGTAACTAGTTAGTAAGTTACTTTGTAGTTGTGATTTGTGAACTTGTAATTTTGAAGTTGTAAATTGTTAACTACTTAGAAGTTAACAAGTTACAACTTATTTAGTGTTGATTTACTTATTCAATAGTTACTTTGTAGTTTTTATGAATTTTTATTTCATATCCGATTTAGTCCGTAATCCGATGCAAACCGTCCGATATCCGAGATTTATATATCCGAAAAGTTTACATTTAGAAATTACACGGATAGGATTTAATAGCTGTAATCCGAAAACCGAACGGATTCCCATTCCCGAAAACTGAACTCGCCTGAATCGTCCGATGCACAGCCCTATTTGAAGTTTTATTAGAAGGGTAACGTAATAAATTAAAATTATTTGTAATGATTATTTTAGGGAATTGGATAATATTGGGTAACATAATAAGGAATGCGTGAAGCCCAAAGGACTTTGGGTCCACACAACTGTGTGAATCACGGTCTAAAATGACGTTATTTTTATGTTAAAAAGAAATATTTTTTGCTCCATGTGCATGTTATAATAATGAACATTTTAGGGTAAGATAATATATTTTATGAGTTAGAATAGTGTACTTTATGTGTTAGAATAATGTACTTTGTGTTAAAATAGAATAATGAAATTTCTGAAGTAAGATAATGGCCCTGTTTGGTAAAATAGTTAGCCTATAGGCCAATTTTAGTTTATTTGACCACTATTAGCTTTTTGATTTGGTTAAAAAAATCACTATAAGTGTTTGGTTAATTAGCTTTATGTAACACCAAAATGTTAAAATAAAAAAGCTGCCCAAAACAACTTTTTCAATTAGCTTTTTGAGAAAGGAAATTATATCAAACAGCTATCAGCTAACAACTAATTTACCAAACACCTTTCTACAATCAGCTAATGTTATCAACTAGTTATATCATCTAACTAACCCAATCAGCTAACAGCCATTTACTAAACAAGGCCAATGTATTTTATGAGTTAGAATAATGTACTTTATGTGTTAGAATAATGTATTTTATGAGTTAGAATAAAGTATAGTGTACATTTTGTCTTAGAATAATAAAATTTTTGTGGTAAGATAATGTATTTTATAATTTAGAATAATTTACTTTATGTGTTAAAATCATATACTTTATATGTTTTTGGACCCTAGTCCATACAATAATGATTGACTCAACTCCAATCTGCCAGCATAAGATAGGGTCCACCTTGCAGGTCCAAAGATACACAATTTACATACTAAATATTCACAATTTACCTTTTAAAAATTCACAATTTGTGATGATCCTATATTGTATTCACAACCCCCCCACCCCCCCCCCCCCCCCTATATATTGTATTCACAAATTTTCAAAACTTAGAAACACAATTTATATTTTAGAAGTTCACAATTCTAATATTAAAAAGAATTAATTACCGAAATGGTCCCTTGACTGTAGCGAAATTACCAATTTGGTCCTTGACTATTTTTTTGACCAATTAAGTCCCTCAACTTTAAAAATCTTAACCAATTTGATCCTCCATTTGTTTGACCGTTAGTCAACCGTTAACTTGGGACCAAATTGGTAATTCGCTATAGTCAAGGGACAATTTTGGTAATTAACTTTAAGGGTGGACAATTCGGTTAAGTTTTCTCGAACCGAACCGTACCAAACTAGTTAGATTCGGTAATATACCGAACAACCGAACGGTAATAGATCCTTGTATATCGAACAGTTCGGTAAAAACTCGAACCAAACGGTAGAGCAAGTAGCAAGGGACTTGGATTTACTTTTTATTTATTTATTATTATTATTTATTATTATTATTATTTATTATTATTATTATTATTATTATTATTATTATTATTATTATTTAAAAAAAAAAATCAAACGGTATTCGGTTCAGTTCAATTTGTTACCGAACAATTTGGATCGGTTCGGATCAGTTTTTTATCGAACCGTTCGGTATACAAGAATCCAATACCGTTCTGTTGTTCGGTATATTACCGAACCAAACTAGTTCGGTTCGGTTCGGTACGGTTCAATTCGAGAAAACTAAACCGAGTTGCCCACCCCTAAAGTTAATTACCAAAATGGTCCCTTAACTATAGTGAAATTACCAATTTGGTCCCAATTTAACGGTTGACTAACGGTCAAACAAACGGAGGACCAAATTGGTTAAAGTTTTTAAAGTTGAGGGACTTAATTGGTTAAAAAAAAATAATCAAGAACCAAATTGGTAATTTTGCTATAGTCAAAAGACCATTTTGATAATTAATTATATTAAAAATACACAATTTAAGACCAGGATCCACAAGGCGAACCTTGGTCAATGGTATAACAACTGTAACACGGGGTGAGAGGTCCTCATGTTTAGGATTTAAACCTAAATATGAAAGAAGTTTCATTTTAATCCCTAACTATTTAGAGTAAGCATTTATAGTTAAATTTTTAGCCTACTTTACTCAAAATTTTAACTATGCTATGAAACTATTCATGATCCTGTTAAACCATTAAAAATTAAAATCACTATACAACTATAATTTTGATTTACAGGAAACTCCACAACTGTTACTAGAAAACGCACATTCCCTTATTCAACTATAATTTAAAACTTACATTCCCTTATTAAAATAAATAATAAATTTGACCACTCAGTACAGTTTATCCATCAATATTCAAACCCAGTTACTCTAGATGGGCTAAACATGCTGAGAAATTGCTCAACTCTAAATCTGTAATGATACATAGCATGATTTCCCATGAACACTGGACTTGAAAAACAAATGGTTTTAAGAGACTGATAGAAACTATAAATTTCTGTACTTTGAGATCATTGTGTAAATCCTATTTAGTAGCCTAGAAGCTTCATTTTCTCCAGCTGATAAGGGATCAGTCCACTCCTGAAACTGGTGAAGGCTGCCTGTGAAGTCTGTGAAGAGACCATCCACGCCGATCTGGTTTATCCAGTAATCGAACTCGTTGTACGGGTCTACACTGAAGTTGAGGTGTAAGTATGCGTTTTCGTTGCGAAAAGTGTAAGGGTGAACCTGGTGTGTATTGCCATGAAGATTCAAAGAAAGCACATCAAAAGGCATGATAGTGTGAAAAAAGTCCGGGCAAAATATTAAGCAACTAAAGAACACAGGATTTTTTGACTCACCACTACAATGCTGAAAAGCGAGGAAGCATGAGAGTGTTGACATTAACAAATACGGAGTGACAAGAAACAATAACAATGGCAGAAAAGTAAAGAAGGCAAGGTTTACGTGATTCGGGCAATGTATTAATTGTGATGGTGATACAACACCTAGGAATACAACCAATGTATTTATAGGTCATCTATCCCTATACAATGGGTTCAACCCAATCCGCTCCACTTCTATTCCTTATAGAAGTTAAAGTAGAAATATGGATTCTCGGGATCTCGACTATTTTTCTTTCTCCAGTTTTTCATTTCTCCAGAAAAATGGAAATTTATTCAGTTTGTAAATGCACCCTAATGTGCCTGTTTGGTAAAGAAAATAAACCAAAAGTACATCAGAGTTGATTATTGAATATTGGCAATCCATAATCACAGACTTTATGGTGGACCAATTTGATTGAGGGAATTCATAATTGTTCATTGAACTGTGAAGAGCCTCCTTAACAAGTTTGCTAATTTGATTACCATAAAAAAAATGATGATTTAGCCATACAGAATACCAAATTTTAGCTACCAGATTATCTGCAAGAGGAAATGTGACGTACCTGCAGATTTTTGGCATGCGCTCGTGCTACAAGATCAGTAGGTGGTAGCAAGTAGTTATTAGATACTGGAACTATAGTATCCTTCCAAGGCCCAATCCCCACTACATAGTCCTTGATGAAGTCAAGGTAACTGTCCGAAGTGATTTCTGAATACGACTGAAATCACAGAATACAAAAGAGTTTACACCTTCAGATAAACACACTATTTCCTTAAAAAAACATATGTTATAATGATATATTCATAACGAATGCAAGGAAGCCAGAGACTATGAGAACCTGGTTTGTGTCTTGAGTACGAACTGTCACATTATCAATTAGAAAGATCTTAGGCAGGTCCGTTTGGTTGGATATGTATGTAAGAGATGTAGGGGCGAAGGACTGAATGAAAACGGGCTGTTTCAACCATTGCTTTGACATATAAGGACCTTTATACCCATATTTTTTCAGCGTCTCAACGAACTTGTCTTCAAACTTCTTACCACCTGGCCATTTAACCTGTTGGAAGTACCCACTATAGTGAATTGAATGTCAAAACAAAGTACGCAATAATACCCGCTATAGTTCGTGTACTACCATTCTCTTCCCCTTATCATTGTGGAGCAAAAAGGCATAGAGAACTCACACGTTCGTTAATGAAAATTGGGTTCTTAATCTCGGGATATATTCCAACAACTCTCGGGGCATCAAGTGCAATAGAAATGTATTCCTCAAATGTAATGATAGGAAACTGCCCTGCATATTCAAAGAGGGAAATTTTTATTAAAAAGAAGAAGAAAGATGATTAATAGGAGATGTTTTATGACTAATGTACACTTTAAGCTCATTTGTGCACAGAGTTATCATATGATGAAGTTTTTAGTGTCCCTAATCACGTGTTAAGGTGAAATTTATCACAGTCACAACAGTGGACTCGTTATGGACGACTTCATATACAAATCTTTACATCTTTCGGGAAATTATATCATATGAACCAGCAAGAACTAACCGTTATATTGCTGATCTCGGAAATCATATCTTTGCCTTGTCCTTAGGGTCTTCAATTCTTCAAGTGTGAAATCAACTGTATATGACCAAAACAATCTTAAAATATATGCATGTCATACATAGTTAAAATGAAAACAAAATAAATGCTTACGAGCAAGGCATGACTATGGATAATCTAGTACATAGAAAATATTGTCGGCGTCCAAGATAATACATGTTGGGAAAACCAAGTCATTCAAAAAATGAAAGTAAGAAAGCTAGTTGAAAGAGTAGTTCGATACCAACAAAATGACCAGTAGTTTTGACCCCTTCAACTACATAGGTCCTGTTTCTATCTGCAAACTCCTTGTGCTCGGCTATATCAGTTGTAACATCGAGGACAACATCATGATGGCAAATAAGAACACCATCTTTTGATGCTAAGATGTCTGTTTCAATAAAGTCAGTACCTTCTTCAATAGCTCTCTGCAAAGGATTTAGATTTACGGACACATTACATGTGAAAAGACAGATTAGAACGGACTATTTGGCTTGGAACCAAGCAACAATATTTTTAACAGAAGCAATAGGTATGAAATTGTTGGACGGAGGCAAGTGAAGGGTCAAGTCCAGCACCCTACCTCTCAAAAATGTGATGGCGGTATAAGGAAATAAAGTTTTGCCATCGCCACGAGCTATAGCTTTTGGCATAGAGATAAGCGATTGATCCTAACAAATGGTATCAGAGCCAGGTGCTAGGAGGGGGAATTGTTGGGCAGAGACCGGTGAAGGGTCAAGTCCAGCAATAGGGTGAGTAGTAGCAAGCGCGAGTGGTAAGCGCTTGATCCTAACAGAAATCTATGAAAAACTAAATTTTATTGCTTTTTGCCAGAAAGTATCCAGCATTTAGTTATTGGAAGACTGAGAATGTGCTAAGATTCAAGAGGAAATGCAGGCAGCATATTAATAAGTCATTATTTTGGTACATGAATTTCAATCCCATTCGCTAATCAATTTAAGCAAGAAGATGCTGCAAACAAACATGTGAAAGCTGAGAAATGTATATAGTGTCTTTGCTAAAGTATACCATGTATGCAGCAGCAGTTTCTTCAGGTATTTCTCCATTTGAACCTCGGTGTGCAATATTAAATGGGCGAAACGTTTGCAAAGGCTGCTTATTTCTATCATTTCTCCTGCTGGGGAGCGGGTACAGAGGCCTTGCAGAGCACCCGACAAATAGTAACAAAAGAATGATCGGGACAAGACCTGCACAATCCATCGTCAAAAAGAAACTATTCATAATCTACACATAAAACTACATCTTTGCACGTCACAACTATAAAAATCTTGATTTTAGAAATTCTATTAACCGAAACTCCAGAAAAAGAATACAAGTTCATCAGTTTTAAGCCGGAGGAGAGTATAGGAACTAGGAAGCAATACCTCGAAATAGGAAACCTATCTGACATAATCCATCCAATACTATTAAGTTAAACATTATCCAAATCTTTAGAGGAATTAGAGATGTGCATACTTTGTTTAAGGCTTGATTAAGACTACAAAAGCTTAAACAATTGACATATTAAACCAGACCCTCATAATTACTACACTCTACAATGTATCAAGATTTACTTCAAGTTGCTGGCACGGGCTTAGCTCAATGGTTCAGTAGACAGTATTTGGCAGAAGAGACCAAGATTCAAACCTCGACAGCACACAATGTGGGGATTATGTTCAAAGTGGGCAGATCCCTTGTGGGCACGGGCAGGCATTTAGCCCTGTCTGCTGAGCCATTAAGTCATTGTGATTTACATCCTCCCAAATGCTCTTGGGCCGGGGTGTGGGGAGTCTTGGGGTTGGGATTCAACCTTTAGGGAGAAGATATACTTCAAGTTGAATTATAAGACTCCTAGAAGATAAAATAAAAAATGCCTGTAGATTCACAAAATAAAAAATAAAAAATCCATAATTATCTCAAAACTATTTCCCATATGTAGAAATAATCTAATTAAACCTCAGGCTCAAATCTTGGCCTACTTTTTCATCCTGATAACAAGCACCTCAATACAATGCTATTATATCTTCCAAATACTGGTTGTTAGTTGATAATTCTGTTGCTTAAAGAATGATCCATCTAAAATATTTCAGAACACCACAGAAGAATATAAAATTACAGCCGGTGGATCAAAACAGTAAAATTTAGCTTTAAAAGGGAGCTAGCTAAGCAAAACCAAGAAATTATCAAATACCCAAGCAGCAAAAAATGAAGAAACGAAAATAAATCACATAAAATGCAGGAAAAGAAGCTTTCAAAGAATTTGTGATCTGGGTATGAATGCTCACTTGGAAATGAAGCCATTAAAAACTGCCCCTTCTTCTCCCTTTCTCTCTCTCTCTCTCTCTGTCTCTCTCTCTCTCTCTCTCTAGCTCCCTTGTTTTACTTCAGAGTAGAGAAGAAGACTAGGAGAGTAGGAGGGAATGCTCATATATAATCTTGACTTCTCCAGTCGTCGCCGAGGATTTGCAAGCAACTATGCAAGCAATTCCAAGAATATTCTTTAATCTGTACGTATTAGGAAATAAATAAAATTCTCTTAGGTGATAAAAATATTTGTGAATTTTTTTTTCTCTTTGTTTTTTTTTTTTTTTTGTCCTTTTAATATTTCAAGATTTAATCACCATTTTGATTCCTCAATTATTTTTTAACTGTCAATGTAATTCTTAATTTTTAATTTCAACAAAGTTAATCATCAAATTATTTAAAATTTTGTCAATTAAATCCTTTCAGTAACCAAAATAATAATTTACATATTTTTTAAATTTTATCAATTTGCTCCCTAAAAAAATTTAATTGACGAAATTTTAAATAATTTAATGATCAAATTGATTGAAATTTAAAATTAAAAAATATATTAATAATTGAAAAATAATTAATTAACCAAAATATTGGTTTTCCCTACTTTCAATTTTGATAATCTCATATTATCCTTCAAATTGTCCAATACACGTTTACAACGTTACCGGACATCACTGACAATAATAAATCACCACTGGTACAAAGGAATGTTCAAAAGGATAAGAGTAAAAACCCAAAAACAGACAATTTTTTGTCTCCATTCTTTTCCCCTCTATTAATTTTTTTTTTTTTAACCTCATATTTGTTCTATTTGGAATAAAGAGCAAATAGAACATCTAATTTATACGAAAATAATAATTAAATTGTTTATTTAAAAAATTTGTTAAGCTAAAACAAATTAGATAAAATAGTGCAATCAAGTCTTTTAGTTCGCCACATTTTAGTTGAAACTAGTAATTATTGACTTGACGCTAATGACATTATTCTAAATTTGTGGTATGCATATACTCATGGGCACTAAGCACAATTCAAAAAGTTTTGGGATTATACCGGGTGCAATGGAAATATTGTGAGACAATGACCTTGTTTAGTAAATGGCGAATCCGTCATCTTGGCGTTTTGACCAAGGTCAAAATGTCAAAACATGTTTGGTTACTTAGCGGTTTGCTCCAAACCGCTGAAAAATGAAACACTGCATTTTGCACCCACCATAAATCTTAAAACTTTTTGCATTCACATTTTTTGTTGTATTCGGTACTCAAGTACATGCAATAAATACCTTTAAAATATGAGATACTTTTTTTTTCTTTTTATATCCAAAATAAGTGTACATTATACTTCTAGTATTTTCTGTGCGCGATGTGCAAAAATAGGTGCTTTATATTTAGATTTATTTAGTATTAGTACTTTATATTAAAATATTAGATTTATTTAGATTTTAAATATTTATATTATTGTAAATAATAATAATGTAAAACATTTTTATAAATTTGATATTTATATTTTATTAAAACTAACATATAACTCCAATTATAATGTGTATACATTATTATTGTTGAAGGTGATAAGAAAATCTATGGTGGATGAATTTGCATGGTAACAATCGTAAAAAAGATAACGAAAGTTATAACGGTAGGGATATATTTGTCCAAAATATTATATAGTACAACTCTTATAACATAATGTAAAAAAAAAAAAAAAAAAAAAAAACAGAAAAATAGACATAAGTGGAGGGTATAACATTTATTCACACTTATTATTTTTTTTTTAGATTAGATAAATGTTGTGTGTGTTATTAAAAAAAAAAAAACAAAAACAAAAACAAAAACAAAACAAAACAAAAAAAAAAAACAAAAAAAAAAAAACAAAAAAAAAAAATTGTTATTGTAATTACATGAAATCCTTTGAAAGGCCCGCACGGGTAGCTCAACTGGTCATAGAGGTGAAACTTTGGAAGAATGACCAAGGATCGAGTCTCACCAACGGTAGTGTGGGAGCAACCTCTCAAAGTGAGGGGGGCTTAATGTTCAGTTGAGTCACCATGATTTACAACCTCCCACCGCTTTGTCGGGCCCTTAGGGTTGGGGTTCAGCTTTTTTGAAGGCCTCATCTTCAACATTATTACGTGTGAAGAAGAGGGTTTTTTTTTTTTTTTTTTAATTATCAATCATGGTCAAGAAGAAGATAAAATTCATTCTATTCAAGATTAAGGCAATTATGATTTTTTTTTTCTTACCAAGACTATGTGGTTTAATTGTATCCGGGTTGAACTTTCACTTGGAAAGTTATGAGTTTGAGCTTCAGTAGAAGGTTTTTTGTGTTTCAGTAGGTTGGAAAAGTATATGAACAGATACTACATTGTAATAGAGCCAGTAGCATTCAAAAAAAAGATTTTTTTTTTCTTTGTAAAATAATTTGTGAAGTCCCTTCACCTACTATCGAAAATGGGATGAAATGTCTTCTTTGTTTAATTTCTTACCCCAGGCTGAATCGCCGCCGAGATTCGAACCTTGATCTCTTATCCCAAATACACCCCAAATATTGCCCACTAAACCATTCTTTGTTTAATTTCTAATCAGAGAGGAAGAGGGCGAAGGTAACCATGATTGTCCAAATCATGGCCCCTTGTTCAAGTATATTTTATACTAGTATTTGTCCCGTGCGATGCACGAAAAATATGTTATAAAAATATACTCTATATGAGGTTTATTCATATATAAAATTTTTGTTATTTAATAATTATTATGTGTGAATTCCTATGATAAAATTATGAACATAAATATATTTACAATTAAAATAATATTTAAGGTGGGTGATTACTACAAATCTTAAACTATATTAAAAATTTAGTACATAGTATTTAATATTACAAATTTTTAAGAACTTAGTAAACTATAATAGTAATTGAATTACAATTTTAGAGTCACCACGGATCAAAATTTTTAGACCTTTGAGATTTCTAACTCTAGATGTAGCAACATACAATTAACCTTTAAAGACCAAAATCACAATCTTAGTTCGAACATTGATTTTTTCTTCCAAATACTATCGAATTAAGTGTGTAATCAATAAAAGATGAGAACTAATAATTCGATAATATAATCTTAATGTTACTAAGCCACTTCACGTCAATTAAGTTGGAGAGTGTTGTTGGATAGTATCCGATGAATCCACGAATAACGCATCTTTATCTCCGTAGTCCTCAATATGCACATCAACAATCTTAAATATTAGGCTGCCTAGCTATGCCATATATTAATTTCAAACTTATGAACTTTGGGGTTGCATGCTATAAAAAGTATATTTTAAATATACTAAGGGTACATTATATATGTATGTAAGGTACTTTCAATATAAAAATAATGTATTTTTAATATATTAAAAATGTATTTGATATTCATGATTCATACAATTATGTGGACCATTGGTCCTCACAATAATTTGCCAGTAGAAATTGAAATATAAATAAATATAATAAATAAATAAATAAATAAATATATATATATATATATATATATATATATATATATTAGAAACTGTCCTTGGAAATTATTATTATTATTATTATTATTATTATTATTATTATTATAATTAACAATATTATTATGGTTTTGTGAAAATTAAATGTTGATTATCAACATTTAATTTTCACAATAACAATATTATTATGGTCTTGTGAAAATTAAATGTTGCACAAGACCATATGTCTTTATTATATATAGGATTTTAAAAAATGGAATAAGCTCTTATATTTATGTATACCCCTTTAGCATTTTGCAAATTTAAAAAAAAAAAAAACAAAAAACAAAAAAATAAACTTGTGAATAATAGATGACAAAAAAAAAAACCAATAATAGCATTATATTCCGACCTTATCGAATAACAAATTTTAAATTTTAAAAAGTAAGAATTTTATTTGAGAAAGTATAAAGTAAATATTACCTTATAAAGAATCATGAGTATTTTAAAAAAATAGACGATTAATATGTTCTAATATTTAAAAATAGACGATTAATATGTTCTAATATTTATAATCTATAAGTAAACTATACAATCAATTAATGTTACATGCACATTGTCTATTGTTTAATAATAATTAAAAATTTGTGTGAGACTTTCTCACGAATCTTAATTTGTGAGACAAATCTCAAAAATGGGTATGGATAAATTAAATAAAATGAATTTGAGCTATTTATTTATGTATTATTACTTTTTTTTTTTGCTTTTTTTTTTTTGTTTTGTTTTTTTTTGGTTGCAATATACGGAGTGCCTTTTTAAATTTGCATTTATTTGAATTCACTTGCTTATCTTTTATACCCAATGTTTTCAAAAAAAAAAAAAAAAAAAAAAATCTTTATACCCACTACTCCCCTCACCCTCACGGCAGTTGCAAGATTCCCTACACGTTATATATTATAGCTAAGAGCATCCACTATAGAAGATTATTCCAAGTTTTTTCTACATAAATTCTTTCAAGTCAAGGAGCATAGTTGATGTGGAAATGAGATAATTGAAAAAGAATCCTTTGCAAATCAAAGAATAATGTCAGATTTGGTTTTTTTTTTTTTTAAAGAAAAAGAAAAAGCTGTGCGCGAAACGCACACAGCTGGCTAAAGCCGGGCGCGTGCAGTGTCTGACATTGCAGTTAATTTTTATTTTTTTTTAATTCAATTTTACTATTTTTTTTCTTTTTTCTCTCCCGCCTCACCATCTCTTTCCTAATGACTTTTACATTCTTCCCACTAATTTTTCCCACTGATAAGGAAAAAGTCAACTCCGGATCTATTGCTCAGACTCATCTGTCCCAGTCTTTTCCAATTATCAAATGCGTTAAATTGTGAATTATTGGCATAAAGTAATAAAAATTCTAATATTATAATCATTTTATTTTGAAAGAGATTGGGTTGGGTACTTGGGTTTCAACTTTCAACTGATTTGTTCCTTAAAAAAAAAAAAAAAAAAAAAAAATTGATTTGTAAACCAGCCAATTTCACGTGATTCTGTTCCTCAAATTTTTTTTTTTTTGTTTTCAAAAAAAGTCTTTTTCTTTTTTTGTAAAATAAAAAAAAAATAAAAATTGAGGAATAGAATCACGTGATACGTCAACTTCGGACTGGCTGACTGGGTTTATTTAA